TTTATTCTCAAAAAAAAAAAAATTGTACATTATGACTCCCAGCTCCACAGTTTTTGAATATATTTAGAGCAGTAGCTGCTAGACAAGGAGCTGAGCAATTGATAGTCTGCAAAATCTAGTACCAACTCCTCTTTGTTTTCACCTACAAGCACACAGCAACATCCTAAAGACTTGTAGATGCTTCCTAACAACCTTCTCCCTGCCTCTCCCCATCAGTGGTAGACAGAGGTCTCCTGAGCCTCAGGTATGCCCCTGAATTGCACATGGCAGTAATCAGTGCCAGGAGAATGGCCACACCACCAGTGCGCTTGGCATTCAGTAATTGCACATTAAGAAGAGAAATGATAGTCATAACACAACATACAAGTAACCTGAATCTGTAATAACAAACCATACAAGTAATTATTCAAGAATATGCAATTCAAGTAAGTATTTTGCCTCAAGCAGCTACTGGTTTCCTGGCTTTTTCTCTCCCAGCACCTACAGAATAGTCACATCCTCCGAACAATTCTTCTGGGGCAGTCATCCACCTAAACTGTTTAAAAGTGAACCCTACTGCTTGTGGAAGACAGAAGCAAGGCAATTGCCATATTCAACCGATGCAGGTCTACATCAACAGCAAGGAACCCATCGCCCTCTCCTGCATTCACGCCAAACTTTATTTTCCTCAAGCTTATACATACGTGACCTTGCAGGCTGTTAGTTGCTCCATACTCTGCCTGGCTGCAGCCCGCTCGGAGACTAGACTCTCAGCTGAGTTTCTCGGTACAAGCTGCAGCCACTGTCACTCACCTGCCAGACCTGCTCCGCTCTGCTGCCTGGAACCTGGCTTAGCACCGCCACACCTTCCACGTGGGCGCTGGATGCAAACTACTGCCCTACTTCCTTGATCCTCCCTTCCTGCCCAGCTCACCTTTTTGTTTTTATAGTGCCGGAAAATAGAATCCGCAGCCCAAAGTCCAAGACCAGACGAGCTCCATTTTGCAAAGCATGAAGGCTGTGGCGCCATGTCAGAGAAGCCTACTACACGAGTAGCTTTGTTATGGGCTATAATGTGTGGCAGAGGAAAGGTAGCTCATATTGCTTAGGATGGACTACCCTAAAACCAGTTCTAAACATCAGCACTAATTTTGCCCAGAGTATCCACAGTATCCACAGGAGATCTCCTGCTGCAGGCAATTGTATCTGCCAATTGCCCAACTTGCTGTTGAGACTGTCAGGTCCCTCACATAGAGGCGTAACATCAAGCACTGCTCTGAAATGACACCAGTGTCTTCAGACATGTTGAACTTACAGAAATGGTTCCCCACTCCCTCACTTCATCCTTAATCCTAAAGCTATTTACTATTTCTTCTCCCTCTGCTAACACTCTTAACACCTAACATGCCTTTGTACTATTTCAAGAGGCAAGAGCTAACAGAAAATGCTAGAAAAAACCTCTGAGTTTGTACTTACAAATATCTAACCGAAGCCCTGAGTTACAACCATCGCATCTCTATTCAAGTAAATACAACAGAAGGACTAACACCACAGTCATTACTGTGCACACACAATATAAATACTGGTTAAGCCAAATAAATCTCTTGAGGTAGATATATACAGTACAAAATATATTAAGGGTCATATGCAAACATCATACCCACTTCACCTTCTCGTCTTGTCCTCCAGTTCTGCAGGAAACATTGCAAACGTATTATTTCTGCCTCATCAGCATTCAAACCAAGTTCTTCCAAGTTCTGAGCTCTAAGACAATTTGCAGCTAAAAGACCACTGAAACCAAGCCCATACATTTAACACAATCTCAGTTTCAGTTGGGGCCATGAGAAAAGCAGGTTAACATAAAATTCAGCTAAGGAAAATGCAGGTATTTTAAATAACTTTGCAAACAAAACAGTGCTGGTCAAAACAGGTTCCAACAGCTTCATCAACAAGAAAAAAATACTAAAAATAGTAAAGACCTTCTGCTGGGATTTTCAAAGGAATTTTTAAACTAGAAATTTGAGCTTTAGTTTCCAAAAACTGATTTTCATGACTTGCTGTCCATCACAGAAACACAAGAGGAAAGGAGAAAGACAGCTTGAGACACAGACATGTCCCCACCCCCAACTTCCTTCGAAAAAGGATTCCGTTAAAAAAATTCAAGGAACTCTAATGAAAACCATGCAACAAAGATAAATTAGATTACGGTCTGCTCAGAACTCGGCCAAGGTTCACATGGAAGGTTTGCAAACCTTTAGATAAATTTTTCCTGAGTTCAGATTTCATGACAATCAAGCAAAGAGGCTTTAGATTTTTTTGGGCTGTCAGACCATGATGGCAGACACAGAATAGAATAACAGGATACAATACTAAAATAAATAATAAAACTGGAGATTCATTTTTCTTTTGAATAAATATCTATAGAGACAATCCATTCTATTATAAATAGCTTAGATTAATACAAATTCATAATCACTGAATAATTCGTGCACCAACATTTGCTTTAGGAAGATGATTGAGCAGAGGAGCATCTGCTAATCAGTCACTTTTGTGGTGTTTTTTCTTTTTAACCAAAGATAATCAGACTGCAGGACTGCTATCAAGCTAGTCAATCAAGTGAAGATAAGTATCAACATGTGACCGCATTGGCTCAAGAACACATGGTCACATTTTGTTGTGAATCAACAAAAAAATGAGTATGACTACAGAAGGCAGCAGCACTGATGCCTGCCTGTGCTTGTGTGACTATTGCTTACTTTGCCACAAGTGGGTGCAGGCTGGGGAAATTCCCCCCCGTAGTTGTGGCTCTGACTACAAGCACAACTTTTGGGTCCAATTTCAGAATTCACTGTCACATTGCAAATCACAGATTCAGTATTTGGGGTTTGAGCAGCTCCAGTTCTTTGAATACCAAGCAAACACCCACTTAGCCCACCTCCTTCCAGAGAAAGGCAATCTGGGTGAAAGACTTCCCCCAAAGAAAACTCAAAGGATGGAAAAAACAGGTGACCAGCAAGCAAAAGAAAAGTTGCTCTGTGGTTTCTCACACGTCTCAACAGGAATTCAGACTTGCAAGTTATAATCCTCATAATTTGAAGACTGAAGTATTCTCCAAATTAATGCCAAAAGAAACACACTTAAACATGGTTGCAATAAATATATTCAAGTAAAATAAAGAGGTCTAGAAGAATAGTTTGGAGTCCAAAGAGGCAGAGCGTGGCAAGCCTTTGCCTCGCGGGCCCAAAGGACAGTTCAGATATTCAACACAGTGTAATAGCTTCCCCCTGAACAACAGCAATATTGTTTCTTCAAGTAAGTCAGAGGTAGCGTCTAAAACAGCGTAATGAATACAGCAGCAGCCTCCAGCTGAGCCCAGCTATGTCCAAGGCAGCCCAAGAACAACGCTGTCTCAGCCAGCCTGGCCACACTGCTGCAAAGGGACCAGCAGCAATCCTCGGTTTGAGCCCTGGTGCCGAGACACAAGCAGGAAGGGGAGACACACGCGAGGGGAGCCCGGTCACCAGGGAGACGCGCACCATAACCGGTGACATCTGCTCCGGAGGCCAGTCCCTCCTCGGCAGGCACACACCGCGCTGGGCTGCAGCAGATGTGCGCGTAACTCGGACAAACACGGAGCCAGACGGACACACAGCAAGAACCAGACAGCACTTCGTGCTCCGCTCAGATCCACGCATCACCAGGAGAAGGGACCCGCCCGCACGCAATGTTTGACCACATTTCTTCTAGAAAACTTTTTTAAATTAACTGAGATTAGAATAGGTTTCACTTCATAAATAAAACATCCAGTGCAGTTTGAAGATGTCCACTGAGGAGCACAAGTGGGACGCAGCAATCAGGATTTAGTTGCAGATTCATCCTCGTCTAAAAGGAGGTCGTTTAATGCAATAACTGTAGCAGCAAAGTCAACCAGCTCCACAAAGTCTGATGTAATTATGTTAACACCCATAACACCTGGCTTCTGTGCTTTCACCCAATTCAAAATCATGGGCAGGTTCCTAAAGAAATTGAAATACAGAAAATTAAGCATTTTAAACGAGACTCTTCTATATACATACTTATCTGAAACACAGCATTCTGCTTATAAAAGATGTTATTATCTCACATTCGTGATCAGGTCGTGACTACCACTCAAAATGCAACCGACTGATGAGACTAGTGCTTAACATAGCACGCGGTCACTAGCTATCGAATAGAATATTGGTCAGTCATCAATCCAAGCTACTATGCATGCAAAAGACTGTTTGTGAACTCTGTATTTATTGATTTAATGCTGCACTGCAATGGCCTCCGTCCTGGTTTGTTTTCACCCAAGTACCTGTTGAACCAAAAAAAGCTTACTTTCACAGCAGGCTCCCTTGCAGCACAAGGCAAGGCTGTAACTGGCCTGAGATGTTCCCCTGCCCACCTCTGCCTTAGGGTGGGCAGGAACGAAGTTGCTGTGGTCAGCACACTGCATTTCTACCAAACTCCTTTCAGCCTCCACACCCATCCAGAGCAACAGGATCAGGGAAAACAAAACCCAGAATCGAGCCCTCAGCTCTACAGGGCTTCAACCTCCCACCATACATCACTGTAACCACAGAAAGGGTGAGGCATGCCAGGAATAGAGTTAAATGGAGTTCAAAATTCTACCGTGAGGAGAAATTTCAAGTAATTTCTTGGACAGAGTGCAAGTCAGGAGTCTGCACAAGCTTTTTTGCACTCTAACATGCAAACATCAGGGTTTTCAATACAGAGACAAATGACTGACTACATTAGCATTATTTAAATTAGTGCCATCATATTCATACAAAATTATACGAGAAGATGGTAGGCAAGTGAATTTGCTAACAGGATGAGGAAGAAAAACAACAAACTCACTCCCCCTAAAAACATTCCACAGCTCTTGTTGCAGAAAAAAAAAATCTCATCAAGAACCAAGAGAAGAGAGAAATTGAGTGCAGGCATAATTACTGTCCCTGTCAAGGGACACACCAGACTTTAGCCAGCTAACGGTGAACATTCCATGTTTCCTTTAGCAAGAGCTCAAGAACACTTAAATACTCATATTCAGGGTAAAATTTCCATATGAGAAGGCAGAAATCTACACTGAACTGCAAAGACAGATTTACACATAAAAATCAGCTAGCATGTGTAAATATACACAAGCAATCATGCTTTAGCAAACAGCAGCATCTATTAAATTTTCACAGTTGACTTTCAAACAAGCAGTAACGATAGGGCTGAGGGATTGGGATAACGTGAAGGCAGGCTTCCAGTCTACCAGTAGCTTACAGCCCAGATCTGTGCCAGGAGTCATTTGAAACAAAACTGCTTGCCTATTCCATGAAATTAGATGTACTAGTTTAAAAACAGAAATTCAGTTTGATCTATTCTTTAGTCAAAAGACAACAGTGCATTTAATACACAGTACGCAGACATAGGTGACATCCCTGCTTTCTGTTCAGTATCCTCACCAAGGAGACCTATTCTCATTTGCACAACCGGTGACAGCAAACACCAGCACTGAAGCACCTGAGCACCATCTAGTGCTTAATGCTGACTGCACAGACGTGGGCAAAGTGCAAGCCAGAGTGGAGACCTGAATGCACTGTGGCAAACATGATTTGGATTTAATTATCTTTTTATAGAATAATGACTGTAAACAGGAGGGAGACTGAAAACTCCATGATTTAGCCTTCACCAGGCATTCTCTTACTTCCATCAAGAACTTTTGTGACTGCGAAAGCACAACACTTGCTATTTTTAGAGAGGATTTTTAAGAAAATGAGTTATTTTGAAGCTAAAATCAATATAATACTGTAATTGTTTCTAAAGTAACCAATGATTCTCCTAAAGGGAACATGAACTGGCTACTGAAGATGTGTGTTTATATCACTGCTTAATATTAAGCTTATTTGTTGATCGAATTACACCAGTGGTGACCACCTATACAAGTGTAATTTAGAACATAGTATCATTATGGCAAGATAAGCTGTTAGCGACATCAAAGCAGGCAACATTGAACAGTGAGCGAGGAGACCAGATCCCATCAGGACTGTTACAGTTCTGGCAGTTTTTACCCAACAGGCTACAAGGTGGTAACGTCATCAAATAAAGTTACATGAAAGCTATCCTTGTCATGCTGTTATCACTATCAAAAACCACTGGCACCACCCTGCACTACTTGAATTAAAACCTTCTTTTAATGACCTTACTCATGGGCAAATTAATTGTACAACAGTCAGTGGTATAAAAGAATCAAATTGTTAATCTAATTTTTGGTAAAAAACACCAAGATATAATAGTGCCCCAGGTCATACATCTTTGGTCATTACTGACATTACAGAGACAGATTTGTACAGACAAATGCAAAATTGAGCCCACAAATAGGCAATTTTCCTCTGTGGCACAAGCTTTTTCCTCCTTAAACTCAAGGGCAGCCAATTTGGAATGAACTATTGGTTTGAAATAAGAGGTCCAGCCCATGTTTTATGAAATCATATCACATTCAGAAAGAGCTCCAAATACCAGGAAACACACTTATACTTACATATATACCCTGTTATTTTATTATTTTCAGTAATTCTTTATTTTTAATGACTGCAAATATGACTCACAAGCACTAGTAATGAGGCAAAATTGCACGCTTTCATCAAGTTTTACTTCTAAGCAAACATTTCATAGTTTCTTGCTTACTCAGTGCCTCTTTCAACATGTAACATGGTAAAGAACTGAGAAATCAAGACAAGTCCTTACCTATGAACAAGTGTGTTCTTCAGACCACGAATCAGATGCCGTGCAATAGTTTTTACTCGAGGTGTGAGAATTGCTTGAGAAACATGAAAAGTCCCGTAACGACTTCGTTCCTCAAGAGTGGTCTCCAGGAACTGTAACAGTTTGTGCACATTGGTTGTATTAGCCCATGGTGCCGGCATTTTATTCCCTGGCCACAGGAAGGGGTATTCCCGATACAAAGGGTAGTGGTAGAATATGAGAACCTAACAGAACAAAAAAATAGGAGAAAAATAACCAAAATTTCACAACTATGTTATTTATAATTAAACAGGATGTTGCGCTGGTTTATGTTTATACAGCTACCACAGCAGCTAGCATAGCAGTGAAAAGAGGACCAAGCAAAAACAAGCTGCTCCTGAGTCATAAGTGTCAGTAAATTTGTTGCACTGTTGCCACAAAGAAGATGGAGATCATTTTGGTTAGCTATGAGGACAGGATTGCTTCAGGCTTTAAGGGTCATCAGTTTAAAATGAAAAGTTGACAGGAGTATACTGAAATGTCATTCAAAGAATTCAGCTTCAAAACAGTTCAAAGCACTGTCAGAGAACATTACATCTGTACTCGAAGTTAAGCATTTTAGCAGCCTTCCCATCGTTGTCCCTGTAACTCCTATTAAGTGGCTAAAGCGTACCGGGCTGACTGGCGTAACGGCATTCCACTTGCACTTACTGCATGAGATGCCAAAGTCAGTCTTGCTGTCAGCAGAATCTTCCCTAAAACAGAAGTCAGTATTTTATGTCTTGTAAGATCGTTCTCTAAGAGGATGGCACAACGACAGAACACTTCTTACTAACACCCAAACTTACAAACAATTCATTTTGGACCCAAGCACTGACAGCATCAGTTCAGAGGAATTCCTCAAAGCCTCATCTGTTTTACAGTTTAAGAATTACACACTGTTGCTGAAACCCTGTTCTTGGTTTGCGTGCATACATGGGAGCTGTTACCACAGAGAAGCAGCATTTAATCTTGCCACTACAGGTTTGGGTGTCTGCAAAGGAGCTAAGAAATTCTGTACTATACCTTAGTCATGTTCAACCTTATATGCTTCGCACTGGCCAAAAAGATGACAGTTTATCAAATCCTCACCAACACAAGTCAGCACAACATCCTCTTCCAGAAGAGAAAACCATCTATAAGGGGCACAAGACCCCAGGGACACTATGATTTAATTATTTAACAAACTTGCCTTTGGGCAAGGCACAGTCTAGCCACACCATGGATGGAGGGAAACATGCACGCTACATAAAGGAGGCCCTAGCGTGCTTTAAACTGACTGTCAGCAGCGTCCTTGGTCTAGTACCTATAAGTGGGAACCAAACTCAGCTTTCTCTATTA